GGTGGTGGGGGCGGGGGCGTTGGCGCAGGACCCTGCTGGACAAGCGCCAAAAACCGGGGAAAAGAAATAAAAAGTTATTGGGGGTTGGTGCAGGACTCTCTCTCTCTCTCTCTCTCTCTCTCTCTCTCTCTCTCTCTCTCTCTCTCTCTCTCTCCAGAGGCCAGTGAAATTACAGTGAATGAAGACCCCCGTTGCAGTCGGTGCTTCATGACACCGTGAAACAGAAATGGCATGCGAAGGGCCTGGTCGACCACCGACAACCGAACGACCAAGTTGGTCAGCCCTCTTGTCGGGAAATGAGGCCCGACCTTAAAAAAAAAAAAAAAAAAAAAAAAGTTCCAATCGAAAAAAATAAAATAAAAAAATTGGCAGGTGCCCGCTGACAGGAAGCACACACCTGTGCAAAAAAAACACCCCCCTACCACTGAGAAAAAAAAAACAGAGTTCCCACTCTGCGTGAACTCCGTGAACTACAACCGGTCATGAAAAACGTGACCGGTGACCGGCCCGTGTTCACTAGGGCCGTGAACGGTGAACGGGGTTACGACACAGGGAGGCAGCTTTAGTCGAGGCGTCAAGGATGGGAGGGGATGTTGAGCAGGGGTTGAACGAGACCGGGTTCGCACCCCCAGAGGACCCACGTGTGGTGCCTAACCAGCCTCCTCACGACGAGCAGAGGCCCGAGGACACTTTGCACGAGGCCGTGGGCGTGCCTCTGCCCACGAGTTTGGTTGAGGGTGTCGTGCACATGTCCCCGGGTCTGGAGGACATCCAAACAGGCAGTGGGCGTTGATGATGTTTGACCATCGGCACAGGCAGAGAGGATAGCACCGACCACCGTGGGGGAGGAGGACGTCGCGGGGGATGTTGATGTTATGGGGGCGGAGGCGCCAGTTCAGGCTGATCCGATGCACACGTTTGGGGGGGGAGATGGTGCACAGGTCAATACCAAGGTTATACCCAGAGAGGACGTGAGAGACAGGCATGGCGGAGACAGACAAGAGACGCCGCAGACTTTGGTGGTTCACACGGCGATGGGGCCGGTGGTGCCACATCAGGCACCGTTTCTGGTGGATCCTAGGCGTTGTGCACATGGCAGTGGCCCGGTCGCGGAGCGACGAGCAGGTGGGGGCACGTGCGCACCTCCGGTTCCTACTTTTGCGCCGTCACGGGAGAGGCAGCAAATTAGGTATGTGGCTACGCCTCGCGACAGCCTCCCATTTGGATGTATGAATGCTGAGGAGTTGGAGGCGCGCGACAGGATGGATTTGACTGAGATCGATAGGCGGTGGTTCAGGATGCCTCCGCAGGCGAGGCGTCTGCCTCATGTGCAGGACTTGTCTTGGGGGCCAGATAGCCCCAGCTTACCTTCTAGAGGTTATGTCGCGGTGCCCTCTCACGGCGCAGCAGGCCCATCGTCACCCGCGAGCGTAGTTGCGGAGCAGAGCGACAGTCCTACCCCGAGGTCGGTTGCCCGTAGAGGGAGAGACACTACCGATAATGTGTGGGTGTCGGAGGACAGCATGTTGTTCGGTCGCATTGATCGGCCATGGAGTGAGACGGGACGGGTGACGACAGGGAGTGCCGCTCGTCAGCCAGGTTTGAGAGAGGTTTCCACGACCGGGAATCGTCGTGATGTTGTGGCATCAGGGCTCGACGGTAAAGGCAGGGATAGTGGTGGCATGCTTGGCAGACGTGAGGGCGCAGGCGGTGCAGCGGCGAGCGGAGGAGATCCGCCGTTGACGTACGGTTTGAGAGAGCCATCGATTATTTTACAGGAGCCAGAGGTTGTTATACGAGCCAGGCAGGCCCGACACGTGCCCTTAGATTGACGCCAGGAGGGGGAGACTTCAGGGGCAGACGGTCTACCTATGCGTCGCGAATCCCGCCGACATGTTGATTTGGCGGCCGCAGGTATACCCAGAACTGTCAGAGGAAGGAAAGTTATTATGGACGACGACCCTCCTGAGCCTTTCACTGTCGGACGCGGCGGGCAGCGCTAGACAGGTCGAGCACGTGGCACTGGTCGCTCACACAGACAAGGTTCTCATCGGTCCAGGTGGGATTCACATGCAGACAACGATCGTTGACGGTCTATAGACTTGCGTTTTCGCGGCCCAGTCTCAGTGTAGTTTACTTTTTTGTCGTCCATGACAGCCGTAGTGTTTCGTGATGTTGTGTTATACTCTACTTTCTAGTCGGTACTTTTTGCTCAGTTTAGACATGGTTTCGTTCAACACTTCGGAGATTATTTCTTTTTAGTCTATTTTTTTGTCTACTTTTTAGTCGGTACTTTTTAGTCGGTGTTTTTTTGGATAGTGTGGCGGGTCGTCGACACTACATGTCAAATGTATTTTGCTATTATCCATTCTACGTTGGTTTGCGTTTTGCTTCGATTATATTTTGTCGTTTGCTATGTTTGTGTTTTCAAACGATGAGTGTTGCATGTGCGTATATAAGAACAGTATGTGAACTTGCATCTAACCACATGAATGGAGTGACAAGTACATAGATGTGTGCATCGACAAATTCCTGATCTCTCATAAATCCCACTTCGCATTGTATGTCCACCGCTAAAACCTGGGTTGTGGGGCGTGGGCGGCCTTGGGTGGTTTGGGCTTGGCTCCATTTGAACCCACACCAAACCCAAATCCCCCAAGCGCGTCAACACCCCACAAAACCCAAACCCTCCCGTCGTGCCCTCCTCCCCTCCCCCCCCCTTAAAAAAAAAAAGGATATTACGAAGGGTGCCTCCTCTGATGCTTATTGAAGATGAAAGAGCAGAGGGAGGAGGGAGAAAAAAAAAGAAAAAAGAAAAAAGTGTTGGAATTCTTTGGGGTTATGTGGGGCGTGGGCGGACTTCGAAGGATTTGGGCTTTGTGCGGGTTCAAATCGAGCCAAGTCGAAACCCCCGAAGTCTTCTTGCCCCACAAAACCCAAACCCTCACGTCGCGCACCCC